GAGAGAGAGAGCGAGCACGAGGCACGGGCAGAGAGAGAGAGAGAGAGAGCGAGCATGAGGCACGGGCAGAGAGAGGGGGGCAGAGAGAGAGAGATAAGAAGCGGTTTGCTAGAACGCTCCCAGGGATGAGAAACTCCAACGATGAAGGTTGATCGTAGTTGGGGGACAGCTCTCCCTGGGAGAGGAGAAGGCCGAGAATGGAAGATCCCACTGAGGTTTACAACAACACCACCCCCTGCTGAGCCAGCTTTGGATCCAATTGTCCCAGGATCCCACAGGCTGTCTCAAGTCTTCGCTGCGGAAGGATACAGGTCTCTATGTTGGCTCCAACGATGTACCCTGTCACGTCAAAGTTAATTCGAATGAACTTCCCCTAGAAAGAAGAGCCAAGTTTTGTCAGTTTACAAAAAGACACCAAAGTTGGAGGTGTAGTGGGCAGCGAAGGGGGTTACCTCAGAGTACAACGGGACCGCGATCAGATGGGCCAATGGTCTGAGGAGTGGCAGATGGAGTTTAATTTCGATAAATGTGAAGTGCTGCATTTTGGAAAGGCACATCAGGGCAGGACTTATACACTTAATGATGAGGTCCTGGGGAGTGTTGCCGAACAGAGACACCTTGGGGAGCAGGTACGTAGTTCCCTGAAAGCAGGGGGTGGCGGGTAGATTTGGCGGTGAAGAAGGCGTTCGGTACGCTTGCCTTTATAGGTCAGTGCGTTGGGTACAGGAGTCGGGAGGGTCATGTCGGGGGCTGTACAGGACATTGGTTAGGGCCGCTTTTGGAATAATGCGTTCAATTCCGGACTCCCTGCTACAGGAAGGATGTTGGGAAACTTGGAAGGGGGTCGGAAAAGATTTACAAGGCTACTACCAAGACTAGAAGGGTTTGAGTTATAAGGATGGGCTAGGGCTGTTTTCCCTGGGGATCAGAGGCTGAGGGGTGACCTTAAAGAAGTTTATAAAATCATGGGGGGCATGGATAGGGTGAACAGCCAAGGTCTTTTCCCCCACAGGGTAGGGGAGACCAGAACTAGAGAGCGTAGGTTTAAGGTGAGGGGGGGGGAAGTTGCCGAAGGGTCTGTCTTACAGGGAAAGTTCGGATGGACCGGGCCCTGTAATCATTGGGAGTTTGGGAGAGGTGATCTTACTGAACCTGGGAAATCCCGAGGGAAGATGGGATTGACAGGAGGATCAGTGAGAGGGTGTTGCTTGAGGAAAAGTTTGGGGTGGGGGGGGGGGCGGGGGGTGAGGAAAGGGAGGGCTGTCCCATTTTGGAGGGAGACGGGGAAGGAATCTCTTCTCTCCGAGGGGTGTGAGTCTGTGGGATCCTCTCTCTCCGTCAGAGACGGGGAGGGGAAGGGAGAGTGGGGGTGCAGATAGAATCAGATCGGAAGCCATTTTATGGACGGGGCAGCAGCAAGGAGATGGCAGAAAGGCCTTACTCCTGTTGCCAATCCACATTTTCATGGTCACTCAATCCTGAAAAGCCTCCACCCAGTGCAACCAGACACCCCCACCCCCTCGCCACCACACCTTGATTCCCCGCGACAGGACCAGCCCGGGGGGGCATCAGGCTGCTGACACTCACAAAGCGAGAGGAGTTGTCGTTTTTCACCGTCTTGGCATTCCCGAAAGCTTCCAGGATCGGGTTGGCCTGAAGAAGCTGCTGCTCCAGCTCACCCTGCGAATGGGGACAGGGAGGACGGGGGAGAGCGGAGGAAGGGAGAGAGAGACAGACAGTTGGAGGGACGGAGGGAGGGAGGGAGGGACAGGAGGGGAAGAAGATGGACAGAGGAGGAAGAGAGATAGTAAAAAAAGAAGTCAGTGCCAGTGAGCGTTGGCAGTGGTGGCAGAGGGAGAAGGGCCGGGAAGCTGGGAGACAGAATGTGGAATAATAAAACCAGCAGTAAGGCAGGAAAAGCTCAGGTGGCTACAGCAGGAAGGAACGGGATGATTCTGAGAATGCAGACCTCTGAACCTGACTTAGAAATTACTCAGCTCCGATACGCCTCCAGCAAGGACGCACGGAATTTCACTCCCCAGAGACAGGTGGGGAGGAGGGAGGCAGGGGGAATGGGGGAGCTGAAGCAAGGGAACGAGCGAAGGGAGCGAGAGATTGAAGGGGCTGAGTTGGTGTTCTCAGTGTTGGCGAACACAATTTAAGAGAGACATAGAGAGACAGAGGGGGGTTGGTAACTGCACCTACTCACGTATATGATGGATGGACTCTGTCAGCCCAGACAACGACACGGAACACAACACAAACCGGGTGAGAAAAAAAAACACAAAAGCGATAAAATTAACGTTAACGAGAAACGGACACAGACCGACACCTCGCTGCCACACCTCTGTCCTCTGTTTATCTCTCTCTCTATACTACCCCTCCCCTCCCAAGTCTCCATCCACCCATCCATTCCC